TTCTAATAGTTCACTCTTCAAGCACTCTGCACCTTTATCTTTTATATCGACACCGTGCTAAATGTTTCAAAGTAATATTAGTATCCGAATGTCTCCTGTCTGAGGATCACTCTTGACAGGCTACTGTAACGTACAGGGACTTGATATGACTATCCGGAAATTGATTGTACTTGGAGGTTCATGATTTCCAAAACAATGTCCCGTTGTTGGACAAAGCTGGGCTAAGACTGATGGAAAGTTGATGCGGCTAGATAAGGAATGATTTCCCGCACTCCAGAGAGAGGCAGTAAGACTTTCTCTGGTCAAGAAAGCCATGATATACCCAAAGAATATGAGTTCGTTGGGGTTGTTTCTTCAATTTCTGTCCCTCGTGGCAGCACAGGCTAGCTTGTTGTATGATCCCGCAAGATTCCCTAATATCCCAAGCTATGGGCCACAGGTAAACATAGGAAGACCTTGCCTTACAACCTGCTAATCGAGGGTGCAACATAGCTGACATTAGCTGGTAGCCCAACCCTCCGTATATGGTGGATAATCAATACAATTATTTCAAAGTTGCACCAGATAGAGGTAAGTGCCTAACCTCAGACTATTGCTCATGGCGCACCCTACTTTTGAATTTGATATTAACCTCGTGCTAGGAGAACAAAATGGACCAGTATGGCTCGAGTCTGGTAGTTTCGAGACCTATATGTTAAACTCTGGGCACTCGAAACAACATAACGACACCTCTGTTGATGCCCCTGGAAACTTAAAAAAAATTGTTGGAAGTGCTTCAAACACTACTGCTGCTAGTAGCTACTGGTTGCCGAAGCTCGCCCCGTTAGGAGTGGCAAGTACACTCTCATTCACCACTGATATTCCTTCTGGGCTAATCTAACTTTTATAGCAACCTCTTGCGGGAGCTGGGTACAAGTTCTATCGAGATGTTGTGGAGTATGGTGCTGATAATACGGGTGAGACAGATGCCACAGAGGCAATAAATGCAGCAATTGGAGATGGCAAGCGGTGTGGATTAGAATGTGGGAATACCTTTGTACAAGGAGCTATAATTTATTTCCCGGTAAGCAGGTTCCATTTCTGTAATGCAGATTAGTTTTTTAAATTAATATCTGTCATTATCCAGCCTGGAACATACAAAATCTGCCGGCCTGTCATTCAGTTATACTATACACAGTTCATTGGTGATGCTCTGAACCCACCCACAATCAAAGGGTGTGATACCTTCCAAGGGATTGCTCTTTTTGATACAGATCCATATATCCCTGGTGGAAATGGCCAAAATTGGTATATCAACCAAAATCAGTTCTTCCGTCAGATTCGTAATTTTATCTTTGACTTAACAGAGATGCCCTTGACAACAGATGATCATGATCAGCCACTTGTGCCAACAGGTATTCATTGGCAGGTCTCCCAGGCCTGCTCATTGCAGAATCTTGTGTTCAACATGCCAGAGGCAACTGATGATAACAAAGTCACTCATGTAGGCATTTTCATGGAGAATGGTAGTGGTGGATTTGTCTCTGACTTGGAGTTCAATGGGGGAAATATTGGCTGGCGTGCTGGTAAGAAGAAAAACCTTGTGAGCTTGTATATTAGCTATTTCAATGTGTCAGTGCTAACGGATCTCTTTGATAGGCTCTCAGCAGTATACAGCAATGAATCTCAAATTCAATGGCTGCCTTACTGCAGTTCAGATGATTTGGTCCTGGGGCTTTAATTGGCAGCGTATTGAGGTTGATGGTGGAGCCATTGCTTTCAACATTAGTGGCAGAGGGGGTAGCACAGGCCAAGGCATAGGCTCTGTCTCCATCATTGGTACGTCTGGAACAAATTCTATATGTTCAAACCTGAGCTAACTTCCGCAGACTCTCGGATCTCCAACTGTCCTATTGCTATCTTGACCAACACTCGGAAGGATGGGGTCAATGGCTCTCCCAACATTGTCATTGACAATTTGGCAATGTATAATGTTGAGACAACAGTGCAGAGTGATAATGGTGATGTAATTCTTAAAGGCACTGACTTTGTTAAACTTTGGGCGATTGGACGTCGCTACAATGGATACAATGGAACTTACACTGCAGGTGAAGTTGATGCACCTAGAAAGGGGTCAGGCTTGCTGAACATAAATGGCAAGCTCTTCTATCAACCTCGCCCTCAGTATGAAGACCTCAGGTTGGATCAATTTCTCATTGCCACAGAACATGGCTGCATGAATGATGGCACTGGGGATAATACAGCAGATATTAATTCTTTTCTTGAGAAAGCCAACAGAGGTGGCAAGGTTGCTTATTTTCCAGCAGGCATCTACAGAGTTGGTGGCACTGTACTTATCCCAACAGGTTCTAGAGTGCAAGGTGCGAGTTGGTCACAAATACAGGGGGCTGGAGTCTATTTCAATGACCTTCACAATCCACGCGTGGTTGTACAGGTTGGTGAGAGAGGTGATGTGGGTTCTATGGAGATAGTTGATATGATGTTCACTACTCAAGGAGCTACAGCTGGTGCGATAGTTCTTGAATGGAATGTGCATCAAGATCGCCAAGGATCTGGTAAGTCACATCCATAATTTTATTTTTATTATCCCTTTTTCAACTGCAACTAAGAATATGAGTGAACAGCTGCTATGTGGGACTCTCATGTGCGTGTTGGGGGATCTCTTGGTACAGATCTGGATGTCAAAACCTGCCCAAAGTTTGAATTTAGGGATGCATGTATTTGTGCTTCTCTTCTATTCCATGTCACACCACAGGCCTCAGGCTATTTTGAGAATGTATGGATATGGTTGGCAGACCAGTAAGTCAAGTCCCTTTTAACAACGGTGATGGTGAGTGGCTATGAAGCAGAGCGAATTACAGCTGATTTCGAAATCTGATCAGTGACAATGACATGAGTGTTTATGACTCGCCTGACAAGTTGTCAAATCAAATTAGCCTATATGCTGCCCGTGGAACACTGATAGAGTCCGAAGGACCCTCTTGGTTCTATGGCACCGGTTCTGAACACACTGTCATGTACCAGTATCAACTCTACGGAGCAAAAAATGTGAGCGGCCGGCGAAGTACAAATACTTAAGCTTTGCACAATTTTAATTATTTTTCATAGATATACCTTGGTCATATTCAAACAGAGACCCCATATTATCAGCCAGTTCCAATAGCACCTTTGCCATTTGTCCCTGGCAAGGAGTTCCCTGGTGATCCATCTTTTGAGAAGTGCAAGACTATTGGCTGTCAAGCAGCTTGGGGCCTGCGCATTATCAACTCAAAGAGTATAACACTGCATAGTTCAGGATTATACAGCTTTTTCCAGGAGTATTATCAAGACTGTGTTCCAACACATAATTGCCAAGAGCGTTCTCTTGAAGTTAGAGGTAGCAAGGGTGTTGCTCTCTTCAACATTTTCACAGTTGGCATGGTGGAAATTGGAACTGGTATCAAGTGAGGAACATTTCCTGGGATAACATAGGCACAGAAGAGTTGCTAATCTTGTGTTCATAGCCATGGTGCGGTTCTCCAAAATGACTCAAATCAAAGGTTTGTATGATATGTTTTGACGTCTTTCCCTTGTTGAACTTACTCACTAATTCATGAGCACCTCAATCTCAGTGGATTTACTACGGAGGTTAGCGTTTGGCTTCCTTTGTCAGGAGACGATGAATATGACATTGTTTATGTCGGACCTGAAGTGTATGAGAAGCCCTCAGTTACATGTCCTGCTGATTGCATTCTGGTGTTTCCAACTAGTTCACTCTCTTCACGAACAACCATTGATCCTGGTAACTATACAACTTCTCTTGAGTATGGACACCGCGGCACAACAATTATAAGTGGGCGAGAAGTACCCACATTCTACACAACAGTTACAACAATCACATTGGCTATAGACCCAATCATCACAGATGGAATGCCCTACTCAAACATCAATATTACTAAAGGACAGACAAGTGCTGTTCTCACTGTCCTGCCTAGTGTTGATATTCCACCTGTTCCTGTTCCCATGCCAGATGGAGAAGGAAAGACAACCACTCGCAATGTCACAGTTCCACCATGGCCAGATATCACCAGAGGGCCACCTGAGAGCTGGAGTGATCCTAATGCCTCCCCTACAGAGGGCACCAGAGAAGGAGTTTATCACACTCCTTTTGTGACCACTGTTGTAGCCACTCGTCCAACAGTCTCAACCATTTCATTTTCATCAACTGTCAGTCCAATTGTGGTTGAGTGTCCCCCTAACTCAAAAGTTCCTTTCAATACTCCAAAGACAACACCTACAATTAACTGTAGAAAACCCACAACAGTGTCTATTGGCTTCACTTGTCCAGCAACCAAAGTTGTCACATTTATTGGTTCTTCTACTGGAGTTTTTACAGTTGACTGCACTGTCTCAACAACATTCACCAAGTCAGAAGAAACAATTACACCAAGCCCCACGAATAAACCGGTAGGGGTTTTTAAAATAGTTATTGATCCTAGTTAATTACTATGTGATGCTGACCATAAGCTGCAACAGACAACTACTCAGCCACTACCAGTGTGGTCAACATGGCCACCTAGAGTAATCACGCCGATTGAGGAAGAGGTAAAGAAGCCAGAACCAGGTAAAACACCTTGCAAACTCTGGTTTTTCTCTGTAAGTCTTAGTCAAAAATAAAAAATTATAACTTTGTCTAGAACTTCTTGATTGACTATAGCAGTTCTGTCTGAACAGAGAAAAAGGTGAAACCAGAGGTTTACGCTGGATTCTCCCACCTGGCATATACCCACCGTAAGTATCGTGTTCCAGCATACCCCTCAATTGTAAAGAGCGGTACATTAACATGATTTATCCCCAAATGTAGGGGCCCTCCACCTCCACGTGCAATAAATCTTCCATCATGGACAATAAAATCTCCGCTTCCACCTTGGCCCCCAATCACGTAAGATCCTTCCTGAGCCCAGCCCTTTCAAATCCCAGAGGTTCAGCATTAACTGACTTACACTTAGTGTTGGGCGAGATAATATCATAACATACCCCCAGAAGGAGCCCACTAAGTGTGAGAAAAAATCAGCATCAATTTGTGCAACAACTGTTTTCAAGGCAACAACCACTAGAGGGACAATCACCTCTACATCCTCATCCACCAGTTCCACTTGTGATACAATTTACGGCTGTTCAGCATCAGATTGGGATACAACAACAACTAGAACAAAACCAGATAACTGCCCGTCGCCAACAGCCAAACCAGGGCAGGCTGCTGCACGGCCCCCTATACCACCATGGGGATGCCCTGCAAATGCCCTCGTGTATCCATCAGACATGGATGACGTGCGACATATTCGTGAGCTTCTCGCTAAATACAAAGACAAATATGTGGAGGTCAAGTCAGAGGCGCTTCATTTCACAGTATTCTTTTGGGTTCCTTACTTGGACCAAGAGACCATGAATACCTTGGTAGAATCTGTATGGGCACCTATAAGAGTTGAAATGCATGAGAGTTAAAACTGATCTAGTTGCTTAGCCCGATGTTGCAGATGCGTTTTATTACGAACACAGGCCTGATAATGATGGTATTCTGACTGATCTGCGCGGCAGAGTCAGAGACATAAGTTACAATGTCGATGCCATCAAATCTCACGGTCAGGGAGGTGTCAATCACTCGAATGACAGTGTGGTGGCTCAAGGCAATGGTAATGTGGATCAACTCATGCCATCAGCTCTGATAGCACGAGAGAGCAATTATATTTGGGATCTCTCACAGATCTCCATGCCGAGAGGCATGATTTGGAAGGACCCTTACAGTGCTACATTAAGTGCCAATGGTCAGTTTATGTTCCATTATGATAGAATCTCAGGAGACGATCAGTATATATATATAATGGACGAAGACGAAATCTCGGAAACCCACCCTGTAAGATCCCATTTTCTAGCATGATACTCTTCGTCTTTTAATGGTTACATTTTCCTGACTACAAACTGACTAAGGTTCAATGTGTGTAGGAAATGACACATCATAATGACATTGAATATTTGCGGCCGGATGATCGATACAGTGATCCAGGGCCAGCTCGACCTGATGTGGAGCACGGAACTGGGGTAGCTTCCAAAGTTATAGGGCGGAATTTGGGTTCATGCCAGAGGTGTACACTCATTGTTTCATCTTTATTCGAAGGAGTTGATGAGCAAGATGAGAGTGTGACTCTGGCACGATACTTGGACCAAGTGAGAGGTGTCATTGATGATGTTTTACTAAAAAACCGCATGGGCAAGGCAGTCATTAACATAAGCGCAAATTTCGATCCAACTGTGGGGGTTGTCTTCATACGGGAGCTGCGTAAGTATCCATGATTCCCTTGTGTCTCGTCGTGTTTTCCCAATCCACCATTTAATTCCTCCTGTTATTTTGAGGTTATCAAGACAACTAGTCCACCACCGCTTTCTCTACCTCTGCTAACACTTATTCAAATACTGGGTGCACCTCATAGATAAGCTCCTCGTTGAGCTAGACGGTCTGAATGTTGCTATAGTTGTCTCAGCTTCCAATCGTGCTGACGAATCACCTGAAATCGATCGTTATCCTGCTTTATTTGCCAAACCTGGAAGTGATCTTTACATACCAAATCTGATCGTTGTGGGAGCAACAGACGCACATGGCCACATCACGGATTTCAGCCAATACGCTGACTGGATGACCACTTTTGCTCCTGGAGATAACATTTGGATTCCTCTAGGTGACATGGACTACATGACATCCAGTGGAACATCATATTGTTAGTTTGCCATTCCCCTCTAATAGCCACCAAGCTACAATACAGAAATCCTGCGGATAAAAAATAGTAACAATGTTTTCAAACCCTAGCTGCCCCCTTCGTGTCTGGTTTAATAGGATACTTTCGGTCACTTCCATCCCCTTGGGTAAACCAGCTAAAGGACCCTGGCAGTGTCAAAAAGATGATCAAGCTTTTTCACCGTCGCATTGTCGTCAGTAATGAACCGATAAATGTCCATAAGATGAAACCCATCATCTGGAATGGTCAGTTTGGAGAGTATTCCTGTTTATCTGACTATCGAACCGTCGAGCAATGGGATCCCAGAGGTTATTGCCCAAGAATCAAACTGGACCTTCATGAGGAGACGAATGATGGAGAAACGGTGGCGCCTTGCCGTTATGATTCCGTAGTACTTGATAATTCACTGAAGCGGTTTGATGGGTCTTATTGTCCCCGTCTTCCCAAGACTGGCCCAAGTGGTCATACTGTTAGCTTCACCAGTAATGGCAGAGTGAAGCCATCACCCACATGTGCATCTGGAACTGGTTGTGGTGGCCGCCTATGCACAGGCTTCTTCTGTTCTACCATGCCGACAGGAGTGCCCCCGGACCGCCATGATCCAAAAGACCCAAATGCAAGCAGTCGGGTGCCGACAACCACCAAGCCCAGTGACCCAGAACCGACATGCGGCGACAAATGCAAGTTGGACAAGGGAAACCGATGTTCGTGTGGTGAGAATGGATGTGATGATCAATCACCTAGCTGCTGTGCCAATGCCAGCTGCCCCTATTGTGAGTGTGGTGAGAATGGTTGTACCCCCAGCTCACCTTGGTGCTGTGGAAATGATTCGTGTGAGTGGTCAAGGACAGGTGGTGGTGGAGGGAACAATCCTCGCCCAAAACCAAGGACTGGTTTTGTCTTGATTTCTGTGTCTAATGTCGAGAATCCCGCTCCACCACATATTCATCATTATTGGGAACTCTGGTCAGCCACACCGTCAAAAAATGTTGACATGTGTAAAGATGACCCTCTTGTGAAAGAAAAAACGGACGACATAGCAGGGGCGTTCCCGCCCTCACTTGGACCATTTACTGCAAATGGGGTTACATGCAAATATATTGGCAACAAGAAGAATGCTGGTAAGCTGGAATGTGATACTAATGTGTCCAAAACTTCATGCAAGGCTGTGGATCCAATTAAGAAATACGAATGTACCCTAGAAAACCCGATAAAATATCTCACTGTCAGCTGTGAGTGGGAGGCACAAGAATTGCCCTAACCACGAGGAATAGAATGCGCACACCTGGGCGGGATGAATAGACAATGTTGAGTTTACCTGGAGAATAATTGTCCGGGGAAGGAGAGCAGAGAAAAGGTGAAATTGCTTTCCATATTTATTCTTGTATTTATAAGGAGATTGGTATACTCTTTGGGCATGGTTAATATCTATCACCCTATCGTCGCGCATCCAAAGCTTGTAGCACTCACTTGTCAATTCAGAGAGGATTTGATTTGCTATAACTATCTTCTACACTATGAAGAGTGGGACGAAATCTTTATCATATCAGATATAATATATGCCCAATAACAATGATTCCCCTAGGGTTTGAGAGTCATCTTGAATTTGTAGTGCAATCACACCTTGATGATCTTCCAGTGCATCTTCATCTAAAAGTCTTCATTATTTGTGTCACAGGTTTTTGCTGCAGCGTGATTGCTCTGATTTTGACCTCATTAGATACATGCTTCTGTACTTTTAACTTTTCTTTCTGAGCTAAACGAGCTTGTGGTTATTACATGGTTTAGTTAGTCGAAAGTTAAATTCTAAGTGGCGGGATTAACTAGTTAGTTACGTTAGTTAATATAGTAAACTAACGTTAACTAGTTTTAACTTAGTTATATGATTTGAAGCTTTATACAAATAAAGCTCATATTTTGAAAATCTTGAGCATCTTTTTTATTCATAAAAACTATTATGATCTATTTTACAGTAGTTAACTAGCTAAATGAATTTCATATTTATAACAATAGTCATATAATTTGCATTCTTCTAGAAGAGGAATTCAGCTATTGCAAGTTCAATATTCATATTACTGTATAATGTGTATACTGTAGAGTAAAATCACATGCATTGAGTGATGACAGATGTTGAGTAGTAGCTGACTGTTTTAATATTCATCACAATGTCAAATTTCACTTTTCACAGCTACTTGTAAACCAATTGAATTTGTATCTTTTGGTCGGGGAACAAAGAGATCACGGCCAATATTGATGTCATCCTCTGACGTATCTTTGAGTTCGAGTTCAAAACGCTTGAAAAGTGAAGCAATGGTTATAAGAAGTGTTGTCTGTGCTAGCCTGACAAAATGATAATAGAGTCAGCCAGCCATCATTAACTCAGTCGTCAAACCAATTAACTTCATCATTTGCGGACAGCCTTCTGACGAACCTTTGCCCCACGCATCGGCGGGAACCTTTGCCAAATGATACCAGGTACCGCTGTAGCCGTTTTCGTTCCTTTGGATCCAACCAGCGTTCAGGAATAAACTTGTATGAGTCCGGGAACATTGCCTCATGGTGGTGCATCAAAACCGATGTCATTCCAACCGACGTCTGGTTGTTAAAAGCGTAATAAGCAACGCCTCATCCAACACACCCAGGAGAAATCAAAGCTGGAATACTTACGCTTGGCGGTATACTGAACGTTTTGTACTGAATTGCCTCGCTGCGTGATTTCCTTTGAAGCCTGGTGCTCACTCCGTATGACAATCTGGAAAAAAGCTCTTAGAAATGGACCTCTTGACATCTAGCAACCAATTTTCCTACCGTAATCCCTCAAGAATCACCGAGGTCTATCATAAACAGTTAGTTAGCGAACCGTGGGTTGATTTTATAGTTAGTTACATCCCATAGGTGACAAACCAGGTATGGAAGTTTCTCTAGCTCTTGAGCTTTCACATCAGTGTCCCAGTCCAGCATGCGAAGTTCATCTTGAAGGCTTCGAAGTTTTTCTGGATTTGCGAGAAGGTAGTATGTGATTCCCGTTAACGTGTTCGCTGTAGTTTCGATTCCCGCCGCCATCGTTGATCGAACTTCTTGAAGAAGTCGGTCATGTGATTTCTCTTCGACAGTCAACCTAGAGTCAAGCACTTGATCGATCAACGTATATCCTCTTAACAAACCCCCTTCCATGCCCAAGGCTCCTGTCGCTCTCACTTGGTGTATTTCGTCAATTATTTGGCAGCATCGCTCTCTCAATATAAGGAACAGTTCCAAACCAGGGTCCAAAAAAATGGCCCACGACTGTGGGACACGCTTTAACAACGGCAATATCCAAGTTAACTGCCGTGATACCATCACCATTGTTGATAGAGATTTCAGTGTCCGTGCCCAGTGTGGAAGCCATTCAGTCGCATCCAGGCACTGATAGTTCTCATCCAGTACATACGAGGTGATAAGGTCCGTTCCTAAACATATATATCCAAGTGACAATGGCACGTTCTTACCCAGAACTTGGAACTCTTCAATGCGTCCACATAGTTTATCAGCAAGCCGGTGAATGAGATCTTCATGTTGCGCTACCCTTCGACTGGAAAAGAACGGGTTCATTGCACCTCTACGAAGACGGTGCAAGTGGTGACTTTCCGTCCCAAAAGCAGACAGTGGAAAGTCAAACGGTTCCAGGTAATACTTGTTCTTATCAAGCGGAGCGCTGTATGCATATAGCATACTGTAATAGTCTGGATCATCTATGTGCAATTCGTACGGGCTGACTCGGACGATTGGCCCTGTTAAAGAATATGCCATATTAGGTTTCGTTCCCGCCATCTACACGGCTACTAGGCTATACAAGAATGCACTAACCATACTTGAGATGCATTTCCTTTATTCTGAAAGTATACTGGCCCTTAAGAACCGCATCGTAATAAAACTCATACCACAATGTTGCAGCAGCTAGTTTTGGTCCAGGAAATTTCGACAAGGGGGAAATGAATAATCGATACACCAGCCCGATGATAACGTATATTGTGACGAATAGGCAGGTTGCAACGAGGACCTCAGAAGTTGTCTTCAACGATGCCCATTTTTCCAAAAAATCCCGCAGTTGTTTGTAACCATGTCCGGAAGTATCGTAAAGCATGTCGTCTGCTCGAAGAAGGGAGATATTATTTAAAGCAATACAAACTAGGGTACCAATGAAGGATTTGGGGATACTTCAGCAACTCTTCAAGCCCTCATGTATATTAAGAATCTGGGGGGTAAATGATAAGGTTTTGATACACTATTGAAATTGCAGAAGGGAGCATCATAGGAATTCGCATCCTCAACAGGTTCGTGATACACCTTATTTCAAGTTGGCTGCTTGCTAAAACTTAAAAGGCCCTTCTCAGTACACCAACTGTGGAAATCGGGTCACAGAGTCCAAGGGACCCAAGAATTAGCGGAAAAGTGATCTGGATAGTACTTTTTGGAGATTAAAGTGGACAAGACCTTCTAACGTTCGGAAACCGCCAGGTCAGTTTTCATATCTCCATTTCGGCACGTTTATCATAGCCATTTGATATTCAGGCTTTAGGATGCTTCCGGTATGGTCGCAATAGTTTCGCACAATATCGGAGCACCCTGCCGCAAGATAAATTCGCTTCATCACAGCTGAACAGAAGAACAGCATTGCGAATGGACGCTAACGTCAGATGAAAAGGGAGGTTGGGTAGCTACATCGGTAACTAGCACAGATCAATGCCACGAGGGCCACAAGTCTTTGGTCAAATGACTGTCAACTCCGGCTCATATCTTTCGAAGAATCCAAAGTCAAATATCGTGTGCGATCGCGAAAATGTTTACCTCGACATCCAGTAAAAGTCGGCGGACCAAAATTGAATCGCATGTGCCGAACATGTAAAAATGAGGGGCATGGCTTTGCAAAGATCAGTTTGTTACACTAGCTACGTGTATCTTTTTGCGTGCAGCGGTAGTTATACTGAATCCAGCCACAAAAGATATCCCAGTCCTTGCAGGAGAAAGGTACTTTATATGCCGCGATGCCTAAGTTGGGGGTATATGGCCGCACTAAAACAATCTGAACAGTCTGAACATTGTGTTAACTTGTGAATTTTTCAACTGAGCTGTCAGTTCACCAAAACTTCCTGATATTGCTGCAGGTGTTACTCGACAGTGAATGAGCCACACACAGCAAATAAAGGTGGGGCTCTGAAATCTCGATTGTCATAGTCACATATTTACCAAGATGATCCCAACTAAAAGTCGTGCGAAGCCCGATGACAGGGATGATAACAACTTCCCGTCAATCATTCAGGAATATCACACCAGATCGAAGGCCAGGAGGGTAACTGCCCCTTGGGTGTGGCTTTTCTGCTTGCATGTATGTCACTCCGTAAACTGCTGCACAATGAGGTTGGCTGGTTGTGCAGAGTTGTTAGATGGAAGTCCGCGGGTTTATCCTGAATCTTTTTAAAGTGGAAACCAGACAAGTGGAAGCGCCGTTGAAAATTCTTCTAGCAGTGGTCTTGGCATCTGGCTGTGTATGGATCGGAATAAACAAGTTTACTTAGTTAACTGCTAGTTAACTAGTTGGAGCCGCAGCGACGGCGCTATCTCGTCCATGTTGCGTCGAGTGAGGGACTTGTCCATATAACCACGGAGTTCTCGATAACATCTACCGCACGAGAATTTACATATTCTCAGTATTTGGGAGATTAAATTAAAAATTTTCATACAATTATTCTCACTAAGAAGTTGGTTGGCTCTCCTCAGCTGGAAGTAAGTTAACTAACTAATCTACTGTTAAGGTGCCGCCAAATTTAAAAGGACAACTCGAAGAAAAAAGACTGACTCACTGATTGGTTGGAGAAATGGGGAGAGAAACCATACACGCACACACACACGGACTCTACAAGCTCCCGGAATTATAGTTCAGAACAGTTTGTGGTAAACACGAACCCAAATGGGAGAGTTGCGAATCCTCTCTTGAACACGATTATGCTCCTCCCAGTCGATTTCGCGGCGTCCAGAATCAACATCGATCTGGCTAATCTTCAGCCAGCCTTGTCCCTTCCAGAAATAACCACAGACCCAAAAGCACAGAACAATCGGGGCCGCCAGGTATGACTTGAAGAAAGCCTCTGCATTCCGAGGAGCAACCGCGACGTAGAACTACAACACAGGCACATTAACAATAAAATCCTGTTTGGAAAGGGGACCGTCGCTCCAGGGCTAAAAGGAGTGTTAACAAACCTGTGCAATAAGAACAATTACAACTAGAGCCAGACCGAACCACGATCCCCAAACACCCCAAGCAGCTGTGAATGGAAGTTCAGCAACGGAGTGGCCGTGGTAAGCCCAGGCAGCGCGGAAGCGAATGTGCGCGAAGCAGATCTGACGATGTGGTTAGTCGCCCATTTATGCATACCTGCTGTACCCTAGGTACCCAGGTAGGTAGATGAAGTATTCGGAACAGCCATTTTGGAGGGTGAACTTACACTTCCCCATGTAAACAGTGCAGCAAGACCGGAGAGAGCAAGGAGCCAGGCAAAGATATCCTCACCCTTGGCGGTCAAATTGATATAGGCTAGGGCGCCGAAGATAATAATGGTAACTGTTGATACCAAAGGTCTGCCGGCACGATCAACGTAGGCAAAAAGCTTAGGGGCATACCCTTGCTCAGCCAGAGCTGTCAGGGTTCGGGAACCACCATAGACACTTGAATTTCCAATGGACAAAACGGAAATTAGGATAACCACGTTCATGAAGCTGTCAAACCCGTCAAGTCCAGCATCCTTGGCAGCAATGACAAACGGAGAGGCTTTCACATCAATATAGCCACTTCCGAGCAACCGAGGATCATCATGGCGGACGAGGAGACCGACAAAGAAGAGAGCGAGGATATAAAACAACGTGATACGCCAAAAGACCTGCTTCACTGCGGAAGGCAAAGATTTAACAGGTGTTTTGGATTCTGCCGCAGCGAGACCGACCAACTCTGTTCCAGAGAAAGCAAAAGCTGCAGTAACGAAGACGGCGCAGAAGCCCTTGAAGCCACCAGCGAATGCGCCAGGGTTATACCAAAGCCGGGCTCCCCAGTACTTCGAATAAAGGCCCCTCTCAGGTCCACCACCGCAGACACAAATCAGGGCGATGATCATGAAGATGATGATAGCAGCAAGCTTTAGACAACTGCTCCAAAATTCCTCCTCTCCGTAGCCGAGGACGCCGAAGACATTTATGAGAATAATAGCAACCAGGAAAAGCGTGATCCAGACTCCTATACTGACATCAACTTGCCAGTATCCGATAGTCATGGCTGCAACAGTAAGTTCGAGGGGTAAAACAATCGCCCATTGGAAAACGTAATTCCAACCCATGGCAAAGCCCCATGATGGATCAATGAACCGCGTGGAATAGGTATAGAAACCTCCAGAGATTGGGTACATGATCGCCAGTTCGCCAAGAGCGTACACAACGTTGAACATCATCTGCGAAAGTTGTTAACAGCAAAAAAGCGACTGCAGTGGCTCACTGCGCATGTAGCGTCATTGGTGGATAGCTGAACCCGACACAATAACTTACCACACCAATAATGGCGAAATCGATCAGTACCGAAGCTGGTCCGCCAGTGGACAGCGAACCTCCAGAGCCCACGAACAAACCAGCGCCAATGCTGCCACCAATCGCAATCATATGCAAATGTCGACTCTTCAGGGTCTGGTTCAATTGGTTGTGCTTGTCTGCGAGGGTCCTCCTTTTGAACGACTCAGACGTACATCCCATGCGTGTCCAGAAACTCAACTGAGCCTGGCCTTCGACCGTCCCTTCATGGACAGGAGCGCTGGTGATTTCATCGTAGGCTGGCAAGGGGGCAGCGGGAGGGTCCGCCTTGAAACCCTTTTCTTTGTCGTCTTTTTCCATTGGCTTCAGACAAGTGGCACGGTGGTAGGAGGAAAGTAAGAAAAGTTAGAAAAGATAGAAAAAATAGAGGTGCCGCGAGTGCCAAGACTCTGCACAAATGCTTTGCACGGACTGCGAAGATATATATATACTGGCAAAAGGAGGATGACCACCCGTGGGGGAGGCGAGGGAGGGCGAGACGGAGCTGACTAACGGCAGCAACGGCGACAAGCTAAACAGGGAAATTGACGTTTTCGAGGTTGCAGTCGGACCAAGAACAAAACTCG